TTTTTTTTCCAATGTCATCTTCCCGTGTTTTTTTTTTTTTTGGTTTCAAAATAACACAAGCAATAAATAGATTTGTAAACAACAAACTCAGATTTATTATATGACACCTGTTTTGGTCTTACTGGTTAAAAAATAAATCAAAATAAATTCTAGCAAACAAGCATGTCGTGCTATCAGCAACATTTCAGTCATTTGTTGACTTTGTGCTCTGCTCTTGAATGGCGACGCGTGTGACCTTTCAGACTCCAAAGACACTACACGCTACATTTATCTTTGTTGACAAAATAAAGAGCTTGGAAATGTTTCATGTACAGAGGCCAATATTGTCAAAACAAGAGCGCCTCCGTTATAATGCTCTTGTTTAAAAAATAAAACAATTCAATGTAAATGTTGACTCGCATTTTTTTGACCGGCTGACGGGGAAACAAAAAAAGAACTGACAAAGCGCCGACCATCAAGAGTTCACACGTCCCCCCCATCCATGATGACGAATGACGACAGCCTGATGCTGACTAATCGGGCCGCGGCGTGACAGATGAGCCTGGCGTGGCCGAAAGATCAGATCGCCGGCATCGTCGTCTCCCTGCTACCGGCTGATCGGAAAGATAAGCTTTCACTGCTCGTGACGTCCAAGCTGCCATCACAAAGCGCGCCGGGCCCACATCAATGCGGCTTGTTTTCAAAGCGGACCACGGCAAAGTCAATAGAAAAAAAAAAAGTGGCATGGGAAGCGCGCGGGGGAGTGCGGTGAGCCCGCTTCGAACCGGGCCTTGTTTTCACTTGCAGGATTTACCCCCCCTGCATTCTGTTCTCCCCATGCCGCACTGATCCTCACTTCCTCTTCGGCTGCATGCGTAGGCCTACGGGGGCTTACCTTTTCTATCCCCTTCCCTCTCTGTCTGCTGTAAATAGGCTTAATGTTACAGTTTTCTGTGCGGACGTACAAAAGAGGCGCTGGGGTGCGCTCTTTCCTGCGACGGGCCCACGACAATAAAGTCGAAAATCACACCAAAACAGACTATTTGGCGGCGCTGTGGGCGGGCCGCGGCCCCTTGAGTCACTGTCACGACAACACAACGCATGCCACAGCGCACAAAGATGGCGGCCGTGTTCAACGGGGCCAAATAAATAAATACAATATCACACTTGACAAGATGATTCAAGGACATTTTCTGATCAAAATTGTTTTGTTGTTGTTTTTTTGTTACACCCCTTTCTTGTTCTCTGTCGCAGTTAAAACTCATTGGGCGTCAGCTATTTCCAGACCCTTCTTTATCCTACCACGTGAAAATTTGTCAACAATGTATAAAGATGCGCCTGGGATTTAGGACCTGCATTCTAAAAAAAAACAAAAATGTGAAAAAACTTCCTTGGCATTGAATTTTATACACACAGGTCATGGTTTGGTGTGTTGCCGATATTTGATATTCAAACCTGTTCAAAATTATTACAACAAGCTGTCAAGGTAACTTTGGTGTCCAGTACAAAGAAATTTAGGCGAGGATATTCTGTGCCTCATTACATTTTGCTTTACTTTGAACATCTAACATAGAGGACAGGACTATTATGATGATGAGTGCAAAATATCACGAAATCTGTTGGTTATCTGGGACGGAATACACAAGGCAGCATGTCTGTCCCGAGTCAGGCTGCATGAAGCAGGAGCAGGAGGAGGAGGGAGGGAGGGAGTTTTTTTTTTTTTTTTTGTAAGCCAATAGACATCGAGAACTGCTAATATCGTTCCTCGACTCTCTCCGCTGGTGCCAGAGCTGCGCAAACCGCTCACTCGCTGGCCATTCGCTCTTGGACTCCACTCAAGGGATGAGGCGGCAGGAGGCCGGCAAGTTGGCTTTAGCGGCTCGTGCGCGGATGCCCCCGCAGTGAATTGCCTTCGCAAGGGAATATTCTTCGACCCTCCCCCTCCATCGCTTCTCGGGTGAGTTTTCGGCACGTCGTTATGACTTGCACACGTTTGCGATCTGGTACGTGTCGGAATTGCGCTGATGACTTTCTGAAATAACCGCGCGGCGGCCGAAGGTGAGCTTATGTGGCTTGAAATTATTCAGATGAAGGAAATGAGAAAATGTGGTTGGAAGAGAGAGGGGGGGGGGGGAAGTGAAATTGCAGCTGAGCGTGTGGCATTTCCACTTTAAAAGGGCGAAAGACGCAGTGAGCGGGGCAGAGTTTTGCTTTCCAGATGTGTGGACTCAGCTGTTGCGTGTCACTCAGGTGGTCCCGCTGGCTCTCCCTCCTCGTCGGCCCCTTTTACGAGCGCACTCTCCGTACCCTCTCCGACCGGCCGTAAACATGTCAGTGTGGACAAACCGCAGAACAAAGTCAAGTGGCACACACGCGCGCACACACACACACACACACACACACACAGAAAAACCTGCCGATATTGTCATGAACTCACATGTCGCAATGGCCCATTAAACATGTCATGTTGCTGCTCCTTTCTGAGAGTTGTCATCAACGGAGTGCGAGTGAGGGGGCGGGGG